AGGGTTTAGGGTTTGGGGTTTCGGGTTTGGGGTTTAGAGTTGCTTGTGGGGTTTCAGGGTTACGTGTCGCTACTCACAGCAAACTTGCAAACCGGAATCCTGAGCCTTAACATCATGCTTGTTTTTGTTTTTGTTAATGTCTTTGGAGGGGTTCTACATTCTAGATGTACACAGACTCTCCACATTCCAGATGTACTCAGACTCTCCCCAGAAGAGTTTCACTTCGGTAGTGACCCGTCTGCAGGGTTTAGGGTTTAGGGTTTGTGGTTTGGAGTTTAAGGTTTAGGGTTTAGGGTTTGAGGGTTTGAACCTAGGGTTCTGCTCTGCAGTGGATTCGACTTCAGAAGCATTCCGTAGCAGCATGGTGTATGGCTCTCATACCCTCCACCCTAAACCCTAAACCCTAAACCCTAAACCCTAAACCCTAAACCCTAAACCCTAAACACTAAACCCTAAACCCTAAAACCTAAACCCTAAACCCTAAACCCTAAACGGCCTAAACCCCTTGATCCCCTCAACAGCAAGCCCTGAGTCCCGCCCTCGCCCGGCCTGGCATGACGTGGCGAAGCAGCATCGGGGTCTTCGTGGGAACCCTTGGAGGACTGCCGCGCCATGCCCATACACAGCGCGGCCAGCTCGGAAGTGTTGCAGCCCGATTACAGGCTCGAGCCAGGCGCACAGGGGACCACGATGGGCGCAACTCGCCCCAAACCCGAAACCCTAAACCCGACATCCTTGTGGTTTAAGACTTGTACAGAGCTTTGGGGAGCAAGGCATGATGAACATTCATCAAGGTCTGCAGATCGGCTCGGTCTTTCCTGCGCGCTTCTCGGTTTCTGGGCTTCTTCTAGTCCCCCCTCGCGGCCTTGAGCCACGGAGAGCACACGCTCGGCGGGAAGAAAGATCTTTCATGTGGGACGCCCAGACAGCAGTCCCATTATGTGGGCAGCGTTGCGAGAATTTATCCCGCAGCCTCCGCACATCCCGAAAATGAAAAGTTTTGACAGTCCCACAGTCTCGCACTGAGCAGGATGCAGGATGTTTAGGGTTAAGGGTTAAGGGTTTAAGGGCTTAAGGGCTTAAGGGCTTAAGGGCTTAAGGGTTTAAGGGTTTAAGGGTTTAAGGGTTTAAGGGTTTAAGGGTTTAAGGGTTTAAGGGTTTAAGGGTTTAAGGGTTTAAGGGTTTAAGGGTTTAAGGGTTTAAGGGTTTAAGGGTTAGGGTTCAGGGTTTAGGATTTAGGGTTTAGGGTTTGGGGTTTGGGGTTCGGGTTTAGGGTTTAGGGTTTAAAGATCTATCATGTGGGACGCCCAGACAGCAATCCCATTATGTGGGCAGCGGCAGGGCGTTGCGAGGAGTTTTGACCCCGCAGCCTCCGCACATCCCGAAAATGAAAAGTTTTGTGACAGTCCCACAGTCTCACACTGAGCAGGATGCAGGATGTCATTGCTGTCTTGCGTCATGGCGTCTGACTAACATCCATCATCGGGGCTTGTTATCTGGCTTCTGATGCTGGTTGGCAATCCTTGGCATGCAATTTTCAGCAAGGGGAACCTCTGTGTCAAGCAAAACTTCAGCATTGTTCTTGCACCCGGCCTCTCTAATGACATTCGGTAAGCTGGCATCGAAAAGCTGCTCTGAGCCTGATGGTGTGCAGGTTGTTCCACCTTTCAATTTCAGGTTTGGCTTTATTGAGGGCTTCGGGTCCGAACACGATGCGGAATGGACCAAAAGGCTTCGGGACAAGAGGGCGTAGGTGCTCCTCAAGTCCACCTCCGTAGTCTAGAACCCCCCTGGTGTAATGGCACAGCACGGATTCAAGAAAGTTTCAACAACATGACATGAACAACGGAAACACCACCCCCATCTCGCAAAAACTCGCTTTAGGTCTGTCTTAAAAGCCCCTTTCGCAACCCTTCGAGCGCCAGCGAAACCCTTCATTGGCCGAGAGACGAGCTGCACCAGGCTCTTTCTGCTCCGCGCCTTTGTCCTCATCATCAGTCTTTTTGCTGGGTTTAGGGTTTAGGGTTTAGGGTTTAGGGTTTAGGGTTTAGGGTTTAGGGTTCATGCGCAAGTTGGCAGCGCATTGCTTCCAAGAGGCCTCTCTGACGACATTGGGTAGACTGGTCAGATCTCGAATCGGACCTAGGCTTCTGGTCCATTTTGTGGGCATCCCTGTTTAACCGTGAGCCTACGCACTCTGCTTGGTAGCATAGAAGGCCTGCGGATTTACGATAACATTGGCATCGCTACCAGTACTTCTGCGAAGACTGAAAGTCCAAACCGCACCACTTCAACCTGTTAACCCGAATCCCTGACCCAATCCTTGACCCTGCCTAGGATTAGTTTCGACTAAGACACAGCATTCTCGGCAAAACTCTCCGGCGCCTGCTGCAAGCTCAGCTCCGAGTCGTTGGAGGATGCGCGTTGATCACAAGCCTCCTGAGCCTGCTGCAACTCATCGTTGGCATCCTCGGAGACCTTGGGCGCAAGAGGCTACAGACGGCTCCTTCTCACAACTCTTGATATCTGTGTGTTCATGCAAAAACCTGTCGCAAACTCCGATTTGAGGTATTCTACGCTTGCAAAATCAATTGGCTTCAAACCGTTTCGAGAAGTGGCGGTCGCAGGGAGCTCATCATCGCCATCCTTGCGTGCTTGACTATCAGGGATGCTGTGACTCTATATGATGCGTCTAGCAAATTTTCGTTCAGGGTTGCAGCCGCAGAAGAGGGTGTCCTTCTTGAGCTCGTCGATTGTGATGCTCACAACATCAGGGCAAGCCGCATCTTTATCGAAACTGTCCATATCGAGCTCCAGGTCGCAGATTCTGACGGCATAACCTGCCAGCCGTATTTGCCCTCAGACTGCAATGAACCTGAAGCCTTAGCCCTGCGTCTGAAAGGTGACTTTGTTGCCGAGCCTGCAAAAAGCCATGTGCTTAGCAGAAGGCTGCCAGACTGGGTGAAGAGCTGACCGGCTGTCTGGGCTGCGTACATCGTGGCGTAGGCAGTGATGCACGCGCAGAAGAACGCTTCTGAGCGTCTCTCTTCCTGAGCGGCAAGGCCCACAACCGATGGACATGGAGATATATATATATATATATGTGCTTTGGGACTGTGACACAAGCTAAAACTCGGTGAGAAAAGGGGTCCCTCACCTCAGAGAAACCTCACGAAATAATTGCCAAGCTTCTTCTATGAATTCCAGGAGGTCCTCCCGCAGCAGGCCTCGCCTCACACTCTCCCGTATCGCCTGCATGGACATGCGCGATATTTGGAAGACTCATAGCTATAGCAAAAAAAGACTATGCAAAGCTCACAGCAGCCGTACATACTGTAGAACATGGTAGAACCGTAGAACCTCGAAAGCATACACCTGTCATTATACGAAACACCTCCAAGCGGGCCTGCCGGAGGTTCCAAGGGGGCAGGACGGCCAATTGCTTAAGAGCACTGCGAGCCACGATGAAGGCGGTGACGGAAGCAAAAGCGTAATGCTTTGCGGACAGCATATCGCTGAGTGTCTTGATGTCGAGGCCGATGTCCAAAATCAGCAACGCCAATGTTTGGAGCAGCCCTCCCCCTTGCCAAGGCCAGGCGAGAAGGACGATGGGCCGGAGACTGGGATCCACGTCGCGGAATCTAGACGGCAGCGGCTGCTTCTGAAGCAGCTCCTCTATCGCCTGCTGTGCCCTTGTCCTTTTGGCCTGCGCACGCTGCTGCCTGATATTCACATCGAGCCAGGGGAGCCGGTGCTGCACACAGTTCGCAAGCAATGCACAGACCAGACATGTAGAGTACAGGATGAGGAAACCTGGAAGGAGAAGGTACAGCACCGTGGTGTAAATGTCAACTGCTGTGATATGTGGTGGGGCCCATCCAAATAGCCAATCATCGGCAAGCTTGCTATTCCTCCACCCATCGCTATACTTTGAAGCGGCCCATTCAAAAATGATGGGGTTGACCGCATTTTCGCCGAGCCACTTCAGGGGCTCAGCGACAGCGAGGTCTCCAAAAAGGGCGCTATAGGCAACGAAGGTCGCGACAAAGAACCCTGAGAGGGCCACTGTTCGAAGAAGGGCAGCAGCCTGACTGGATGCACTCTGGTTCGTCTGAACCATTTCTGGACCTCTTGAATATCTGAAAGCTTGCATAAGCCCGTAAATGTAGCAGTCAGCTTAAAGCACGAGCCAGCTGAAACCCTCAACCTGTCAGTGTCCTGTAGCACACCGCAAGCATGGCAGTTCGTCTCTAGGCAGGGCAGATAGCTTGCGTAAAGCCTGGCGCAAGTGCTATGTAGATGCGATCGTGCTCCCTTCAAGAAGTGGAGTTGGCGCTGCAATTTTGGATTCTGGTGGTGTTTAAGATTCTGGCTTCTGTGCGACTTCTCAACCATGCACATTCCTTCCAGGGTAGGCGAAAACCCCCCTGCAGATGATGGTCATTCCGTGGTGGCCCGCGCTCCTTTTAGGGCTTATAGGGCCCATGTTTGTCCGAATTGTCAAGGTGTCGGGTTTCCTGGCGGGTATTCCTGCTATATAAAGCTTTAGATCCCGTTACCCTGTTGAAGAATTCGCATTGGCGCCGGAATTTTAGACGCCAGATGCTGGCACAAAACAGCTTTACCCCCCACCCCCCCGCCCCCCTGATACAGGAGAGCCATGCAATGGCCAGCCACCACCTTCCGACCAACTTCGCTCGTGCAGTTTGCCGCACCCGGCCTGACTGTAAACGTCAGAGGTTCCAAAAGGGACCTCCTTTCCCTCCCCAACGACCCCTGACATGGAAGTTCTTTAGTTTGAGAACCGATTTCATGCGCTTGGTATTGGGTCCTGCATGGGGTCTAGTGACCCCGCAGGCTGCCCAGGAAATTCCCGGACGACTAGAAACCCAGCAAGCAGGCCGAGGCAGCCGCCGTGCAGCATTTACAATTGCATACATATATTGTGGACATGTCAATAAGAGCGTCTGAGCGCAGGGGTTCTAGAAACCAGAGCTGGCCTGTGTCAGGAGGCACTTGGTCCCCGTGGTCCGTTTGGTCAGGATGATCAGCACCGGGCACTTCAAAACTTCCCGAACACCGTGAACGCTAACTGCCGGAACAGCGTACAAGAAGAAGACAACGGGTAGCCACAAAACCCACCGTACCAATAAGAGCGCGAAGCCAAACCAGAAGACGGCAATCAAACTTTCCAGCCACCGCCACAGTCTCATGAATGACGTACGCTCTGCCAATGCTTGGCACACCAAGAGTCGAGCACCCTGCAAGAATTGGTCTGAAACATCCCTTTCCTCCTCCGGCGACGGACGTGGCTGCACTTGCCTTGGCCTCTGCATCAATTTGCTGATCAGACGCTCAAGGCACACGGCTGCAAGCGCTGCACTTGCAGCAGAGATCAAAGACAACCATGCCAGCCAGTCTGTCAGCAAGGCCACCATCCAGTCTTCTGGTCTGCTGCGAGATTCCAAGAAGTCCTTCTAAGAACGTCAGTGAGCGCTTCTTACTCTAAACAGCGGCGTGCAACATCACACAGCCACTGAGATTCGGTGTCTTAGCGCATGAGACTGACCTGGTGTATGGTGGAGGATTTGAGCATTTTTTTCATTGTATGGGCTCTTCTCATGGTATTGTCATCCTACGCGGGCCTACGCGTGAACTCATGTTTAGTAGCCGCGCGGCCTACGCGCGGAGTGTGTTGTTGACGCGTGCCTACGCGGACCTACGCGGCAGGCCCTGGAACAAAGCGCAAAGGCGCAAACGTATTGTTTGACTTGCTATATTGTGGCCACTGGCACATTCGGATTATTCAACCAAACTTTCTGCCCAACCCTGCCTGATTTTCTGCCCCACCATGCCCACTTTTTTGCCCAACCCAACCCTGCCCGAATTGTGTGATGTTGACGGATGGGCTACGACGTTGAAAACGACACCTACGCGTGGGCTACGCGGAGCCTACGCCGCGCCCACGCGAAACTCCTACTTATATATGCAGTAATACGTATATGTATATTTCTGTGTATATATATATATATATAACAATTGAGTCAACAACCTACGCGGACCTACGCGGACCTACTACGTAGACGTGCCTACGCGGACCCTACGCAGACCTACGCCGTGCAGGCAAAATGCTACGCGGCCGACTTTCAATGTTCGCGTCTCTATGTGGCCTTGCTTGTAGAAAAAGAACGCTGCTCATTTGAGGATTTATAGGCGCACGGAAAACCCGTTTGCAATGTCCTTTGCTTCAGGATCACGAAGCCTGCTCACAAGGGGACCAAAGTTGTCAGCCCAGCGGGGGTGACCACCGCAGCCATCGAGCCAAAGCTGCAGGTGACGCTTTCGGAGAGACTCTGGAAACCTGCACTGAAGTTCTGCGGCAGCAGCCTTCCAGGATTGATCAACCTTCTCTCCGACGCAAGCGCTAGCAATGAGCATACTGCACGACAGGCGGCGTATGTAGGATTGCGGCGGCGCCATGTTCATAAGCAGTAGTGCCACTTGCAGAGTCGAAGCCAAGTGCAAGGGTGCAGAGCTGAATGTGTCGAGCACTGTCAGACCCTCCGGCCACCGCTCCAGCAGGAATGTCACGAGCTCGACGCTGCCACTTGCGGCTGCGTCGTGCAAAACCGTGTCGCCATTGTCGTCGGCAACGTTCAGCCCCTCCGGCCACCGCTCCAGCAGCAACTTCACGAGCTCGACATTGCCATTTGCGGCTGCATCGTGCAAAACCGTGTTGCCTTCGTTGTCGGCAACGTTCAGGCCCTCCGGCCACCGCTCCAGCAGCAACTTCACCAGCTCGACACGGCCGCTCCAGGCTGCATCGTGCACAGTCTCGACAGAGTTGTCCACCTCCTCCCAGGACCTCAGCAGCAAAACTAAGAGCTCGACACTGCTGCCACTTCCGGCTGCAGCGTGCAAAACCGTTTTGCCATAGTCGTTGGCAACGTGCAGACCCTCCGGCCACCGCTCCAGCAGCAACTTCACGAGCTCGACACTGCCGCTCCAGGCTGCATCGTGCAAAACCGTGTTGCCAGCGTTGTCGGCAACGTTCAGCCCCTCCGGCCACCGCTCCAGCAGCAACTTCACCAGCTCGACACTGCCGCTCCAGGCTGCATCGTGCACAAGCATCTCGACAAAGTTGTCGGCAAAGTTCAGCCCCTCCGGCCGCAGCAACTTTATGCTACTTCCGGCTGCAGCGTGCAAAACCGTTTTGCCATAGTCGTTGGCAACGTGCAGACCCTCCGGCCACCGCTCCAGCAGCAACTTCACGAGCTCGACACTGCCGCTCCAGGCTGCATCGTGCAAAACCGTGTTGCCAGCGTTGTCGGCAACGTTCAGCCCCTCCGGCCACCGCTCCAGCAGCAACTTCACCAGCTCGACACTGCCGTAGTCACTGCCGCTCCAGGCTGCATCGTGCACAAGCATCTCGACAAAGTTGTCGGCAAAGTTCAGCCCCTCCGGCCGCAGCAACTTCATGCTACTTCCGGCTGCAGCGTGCAAAACCGTGTTGCCAGCGTTGTCGGCAACGTTCAGCCCCTCCGGCCACTGCTCCAGCAGCAACTTCACCAGCTCGACACTGCCGCTCCAGGCTGCACTGTGAAATGATGTCCGGCCATAATAGTTGGCAACCTTCACTCCATCAGGGCGAGCCTCAAGGAGCAGTTGCGCAACCTCCACGCTGCCGTTCAAGCATGCTTCGTGCAACGGCAAGTTGCCGTCACCATCCCTTTCTTGTGAGCCTGCAGGCCAGGCAGCCAGGATCAGATGCACGACGTCCAGGTCACCTTGAGAGGCAGCCAGGTGAAGAACGGTTGATGTGATCCACCCAGCATCCTTTCTGTACATCATGTCGTCGGGACCAAGCTGGCTGCTGTTCAGCAGCCTCTGAACTGCATCTGCATCGCTGCTCTGCACAGCTGACAGCAGCTCCTCCTTCGTGGCGGCCGATGTGGCCATGGCGCATAGGCAAAACGCAGCCCAGCGGCACATTTCCCGCACTGCTTTGCAGCTTGGGAAGGAAAAAGCCTGCCGGTTGCCTTGAGCAGAAATGCTGGGCCCCGCGGTGTGGACGATGCAAGGCATGGAAGGGCTATGCAAGCGCACAGCCGCCGTTTTCTACATCTTGGCCTGCAGGCCTTGCCTCTTTTCAATACTTCGGAAGATCTTGTTCACTGAACTGCTTGCTAAGATTTGAAGGCGAAGGGTTACTGGGCTGCCGCGCAAAGTGCCTCAAGACACTTCGCAGGTCAACTGCAACCGGCGTGCAACGTTTGCCCTGCCGCCGCCATGCTGGGCCACCAGAGCGAAGAGGAGCGCAAACGCCAGCCTGTTTCGGGGGTTTGGGGAGTCTCAGGGCCTTGCCGGGCCCCCCCCCCCAAAAAAAAAATAAGGAATACTTGCGCCTTAAAGTACTTCCGATATAGGGACTTTGGGGCCCACGTATAGAATAATGAGGTACATGGACCCCTAAACCCTAAACCCTAACCCGAAACCCTAAACCCTAAACCCTAAAGGACACTTCGGGTTTAAAGTAACGAGGTACATGGACCCTTAGGGGGGAGTTGAAGATCCGATGGCCTCCAGTGGCGGCCGTCCCCTGCCACAGCGCCTGGTAGCCACGTATAGGGTTTAGGGTTTAGGGTTTAGGGTTCAGGGTTGTTTAGGGTTTAGTTTAGGGTGTACTTTTGGGGGGGTTGGAGGGGTTTAGGTCTGGAGGGTTCGAACGCGAAACTCCCTAAACCCTCTAACCCCAAAATCCCCCAAACCTGAATCCGAAGAGAAGTGGCCTCTACAGAACCCCCCTGCCCCCAGCCTATCGCTGCACTGGTAGCCACGGCATCCTAGGCTGGCTCACCGAGATCTAACGCCAAGCCCTTAAGCCTTGAAAACAGGTGCCCATAGGCCCTAAATCCTGCACAGTCCTTGAGCCCCACATTCCACCTTAAGCTGAGCCTTACACCGTGTATAAACCTTGCGAGCAAGACCTAAACCTTATGAATCTTATGAGTCCTTAAGCCCTGAACCGCTCAACCCTGAGCCCTTAACCCCACAGCCTACATTAGGCCCTTCTTGGCTCGGGAATCTGTGGCCGGAGCTTCGTGACGTAAAGCTTCGGGAGTTGCATTCCAGGCGTAGGAGGGTAGGGTTTGGGGTTCGCGGCTTCACAGTATGCACACCGCGATGCCTTCCTGCCTGCCTGCTTGCCCATCTCTGAAAGAAAGACCCCAAATTCGAAAAGGGAAGTGTGCTTCTGCCCGACACACAGTTAGTTTCCTGCAGGAACCTCCATTAACACCTTGGACGCTGAAATGAAGTCCTTTAGGATTTTGCAAGTGAAAGGCTCACGTACCTCCCAAAATGGCCCCCTTGGCAATCCCAAAGGATCCTAAACTCTAGCCCTAAACCCTAAACACCAAACCCAAAAGATCCCCAAAACAATTCCCAAAGCAACCCCCCAAAAGATCCCAAAAAACCTTTCCTGAAAGCAAGCCCTCACATCAAGCCCCTCTTGGGCACCCCTAGGGAGATGCAACGTCAAGAATGCAAGTTGCTAGGGCTTGGCGCCGGTCCTGAGGCTGAGGTTGGGATAGCGGGTTTTATAGGGATTTAGGGCGTGTTCAGGGTGCAGGGGTTGTTTAGGGCTAAGGGGTTGTGTAGGTTTAGGGCGGAGGGTTGGTGGTTCGGGCTGTGCAGGAATCGGGATGTTGAGGTCGTTTGGTGCCGACGTTTGCAGGGAAATGGAATCACAAACAAGCATGCTTCCAAAACTCTAAACTCTAAACCCTGAACCCCTGTTAGACTAGGAAGGGTAGTCCGGAATCTGGACGAGTGTGAGAATGCTGTGGGGTGGGACCAGATTGCCAGATTGCCAAAACCCGAAATGAGAACCCCAAATCCGAAAACCTCACCCGCGAAGCACGACATCCTTCGCACACGGGAGTCACTACCAAAAACAGCAGCCGAAACCCTAAACCCTAAACCCTAAACCCCAAACCCCAAACCCCAAACCCTAAACCGAAACACTAAACCCTATAAACCCTTGGAGGATTGGGATTTCGGGTCTAGGGCTACAGTTTGGGCACTGAACCACAGCCCGGGAGTGCTTGCTTACAGGTCTGCAGGGTTTTGCCTTACTTCTCCAATAACCAAGGGGCAACAAGGTTAAGCTTTATTGTTCCTACTAAATAAGGAAACCCAAAAGTTTAAAGTTCAACTATTGGCTAAGTAAGTTGCTAAGCCCCTAAATTTAGGGCCCTAAAACCTTCAACCCTAAAGCCTGTGAACCCTCTAGAAAAACCCTAAACCCTAAGCCCTAAACCCTAAACCCTTATGAACCCTCATCAACCCTGTAAGCCATCATAAACCCTGTAACCCCCGAACTTACAAACCCGAATTAAGCCCAAACCCTAAACCCTAAACTCTAAACAGACCTATAAGCCCCAACTGCTGAGAAGAGCTCCGCCAGCTGCCAGAGGAGGGCCAGGGCGGCTGGCCAGCGCCTCCGCTGTGCAAGCCTGGCTCCAGGAGGGGTTCGAAGGTTCCTAGGGTTTTAGAAAGGGTTTATGGGTAGTTGGGGTGAGGATCTGGGATGTAAAAGCTTGGGGTTTATGGGTATTAGGGTTGAGGGTTTCGGGTTGGGGGTTTATGCGTTGAGGGTTGCAGGTTTGATTTTCTTGGCTTGCGCTTCGACAGTAGGGCCTACGCACGCCTTGGCCAGCTAAGGTCACAATGAGGGATTCTATATGGAAACCCTAAACGCTAACCCACAAATAAATTCCCTTCAGTTGGGTTTTCGTTCGCAACCGTGAGATAAGCATGTGTCCACTACACAAAAGGTTGAGGGTTTACCCAAAAGCTCCAATGTAGTTCCTTTTTGGGCTAGTTCTGGGGGATTCTAGCATACTACCCCAACAAGGCACTACATAGGAGCCTGTGGTTTAGGGTTGCGCGGTTGGGTTTTAGGCTTTATAGGCTCTGGGGGCTTATAGGGGCTTCAGGACCTCCGAGCTTTCGCTTTCGCATCCTGGCATCCTCCATCCCTAAAAATAAGCCCTTAGTTGCTGAGTTCATAACCCCCCCCCCCCCCCCCCCCCAAGAAAAAAAAGTATGCAGTTTATAGGCGATAAGAGTATCCCAAAAAGTGCGAAGTGTACTCATTCAGCAACTAAAGGCCCTATAAAGCCCTCAAAACAGCTCAACAAAAAAAACGCGGATCCCACTGGAGATATGTTAGGTCTCTAGGCCGGTGCACAGGAAGAATGAACAGGGCTTCGTGTTTAGGCTTTAGGGGATCAAGCCATAGTAGGCATAGGGAATGCTTTTGGGATACTCCTCCTTCAACCCCCCCGCCCCCCTGCTGAAAGGGGTCGCCTTATACCGTGTACAGAACCTAAACAGGAACTGGACGCACACAGATCAGCTCGTGAAGTATGCGCAAAACGAACCCCAACACGGCAGGCAAAGCTCTTGAACACAAACAAAATGCCCTCGAAGCATTGAAAACCTACTTGGAGGTTCACTGGTACTTGTAACCCCAATCATAAATCTATAGTTATAACCTACTTAGGGGGCTTCGGGTGCTTACAAGTACAGTTATAATTGGGGCTATAAGTCCCTAAACTCTAAACCCTAAAACCTAAACCCTAAACCCTAAAACCCCTTAATTGGGGCTATAAGTACCCTAAAACTCCAAGTAAGGCTCTCGGTTTCCCGACCCTCCACGCCTCTGAAGGCGGCTGGTGTGCCTGCAAAGGGCCGCCTCCCAACGCCCACCTGCGGCATGCAGGGGCAGGGTTTAGGGTGTGGGTTTAGAGGTTTGGGGTTTAGAGAGTAGAGGGTTTAGGGTTAGGGTTTAGAGGGTTTAGGGCTTAGGGTTTAGGGCTTAGGGTTTAGGAGTAGAATGCCGAAAACAATCTGTAAGTGGACCCCGGGCTCAGAACCGTCCTCAGAAAAGCTTGGCACGGATGCATTGTTCGGTTGAAGTATTGTTCTGCTTCTGGATGCGCGTTTCATGACGTGAAAAGTCCTTGACTCTCGGTGTTGTTAGGGCACATTTCCCTCACCGCGGGGGACGTCGACGGAGCTCGCCAAAAGATTCTGACATGAAACTAAACCCTACATCCTGTATCCCAGGTCGCCCCACAGTGTGGACCTACCGGTCTTCAACTGTATTAGGCCCAATACTCTAAACCCTAAACCTTAAACCCTAAACCCTACTAGCCCTAAACCCTAAACCCTAAACCCTAAACCCTAAACCCTCAACCCTAAACACCGCAAGGCACTAACCGAAGCCTCTGGCAGTGGACCAGCCTTCTCTGAAGATCAGCGAAGGCAGGGAGACCGGCGGCATGCTCCTCCGATGCAGAGATGCACGGAATCAAGAGTGTTGCGGCTCAAATGAAGGATGGATATTGAGAGGAGGAAGCAGAATAATTCATAGCAATAGTAATAGTAATTAACAGAGATAGTAATTGTAATTGCAATAGTCATAGTACTAGTAATCGTAATAGTAATAGTAATAGTAATAGTAATAGTCATAGTCATAGTAATCGTAATAGTAATAGAGATAGAAATAGTAATAAATAGAAATCGTAATAGTAATAGTGATGGTAATAAACATATTTTAAAAATGAAATAGACACAACAATTAACAACAATACTATGAATAATAATCATAGTCATAATCATAATCATAATTATAAACACGATAATGATAGTAATAACAATAATAACATTAATAACAGTAATAACAATAATAGCAATATTTTTTTAATAACAATAATAACAGTAATAACAAGAATAACCAATAGTAACAATAACAGTAATACTAATGGAAACGATCATAATTTACAGCGATAGCCACAGCTTGCATGCAGACTGTGCCGCCACCGGTGGAATTCCCCACGCCATCGAAATAGAGCACGTGTCTGTTGTGGACGGACATGTCATCTGCCCCC